GATCTTACTCTTGGAAAGAAAACAAATAATCATACTTCTTACATGCTCAAGGGTTCCTAAACATCCATCTACCTTTATTTATGACCGCTTATTCTTTTTGCTGGGTCACGGGAGGCTGGACCCTTCTTGCTGTGAGGTGACAGTGTTAACCACTTCACCACCTTGACACCTAAACAGTAACTGATAAAAAAGGGGTAAAGTTTTCTATGGCAATGTCCAAGAAAGAAAGAAAGGAAAGCAAAATGATGAGGCCATTGGTTGAAAAAAGCAAAGTCATTAGGCAATAGAACAAGAAAGATTCAGAGACAGAAACAGGCGACAGAGATAGATGGTGAGTAATAGAGATAAGGCGAGAGCCGTTATGAGTCAAACATGAAGACAGGATGGGAGATGAAAAGACAAAACTAAAAAGGAGGAGGGAGAGAAATGGGGGGTGAGATGATGAAGAGAATAAGAAATGAGTGAGGAGGAGAGAGAACAGAGAAGGAGAGACAGAAGGTTAGAGTGAAATTTAAAAAAAGATGAAAATATCAGAGGATGGGGGAGAGAGAGAAAGAGGGAGATGAGGAAGGTCAGTGAAGGAGAGAAGAAGACAGACAGAGCGGGTGAAGAAGAGAGAGAGAGAGATAGAGAGAGAGAGAGAGAGGGAGGTTGTTTAATGAATCGATCAATTTGATTAACTGATTCATCATTTATCTTGTGAAATATCAAAAACATATAGTGACAATATCCAATCACCACTTCCCAGTGTTTTATACTCTAGGTCTTGTTCTGTCCAACCAAAAGTCCAAAAATATTTTTTAGTTTACAATGATATATAAAGAGCATACAGAAAATATTTTGTTGTTTCACTATTTGTACTTCAATTAAATGACTTAAATGATTAATTAGTTATCTAAATGCTTGCAGATTATTCTTTGTTCATCGAAAAATTGCTCTAAATCGATCTAATTGAGACATTAAGGTTGTTTAGTCTCATATTACATTGATATCTAACAATGGAGATTTAAATTATATTTGTTCACTTAATGTTGGAAAACTTAATATTTGAACTAGTGCTGATTTAATCACATTTATCTTACCGAACAAATAAGATAATTAGTTTGATTATAGACACATGGGGTTATTTCTTTAATAGGCTGCACAGTCAGAATTAATGTGATTCATTCATCGTTCACGGAAAATGCTGGAAAGTGAAATTTTACAGCGGAAATTGCCTCACCTTCTCTGGAAGAGTAAAGAGTAAAGGCAGAAACACCAGTGGGGTGAAGAGGAGAATCAGCTGTTTGTGGATGCACCACAGCTTCTTGGATAAAACAGATATTTCCATCTCCAGAGGAAAGTTTTAGCTCCGTTTTGGGAAAAAGGGAGTTCCAGACTGGCTGAGAGGAGCCAGTTGGGACGCGCTTTGAAGCCTCTGGGTCGAGTACAGAAAAGATTAACTACAGGCTGAAACACCTCCTGGGGTGACATATAGGTCAGAGAGACGGTCAGCTGTTTGTCATGTTTCAGCAGGCCTCTCCCACAGGAAGAGTGATGCATCTTAACTTAACCAAAAACCTCCTTTTTTTTCTTTGCACATTTGACTCTACGGTGGCCCTGAGAGCTCAACACTGCAACTCAAGTGATATAAGACACATATGATATATTTATAATAAAATTAAACATATTTTAAAAGGCAAATAAATAAATCAAACATTTACTAAGGGTCATAATCAGTGTTTGGCTAGTTACTCAAATTTTTTTATTGATTGCTCATTACTCTTTTCAAATATTATTACTTTACTTATTACCTGCCAACAGTAATTAGTTACATTTCACTTTTAAAAAAAAAAAGTTATGTTACTTTTCTGCTCCTCCTCCCCAAAATTCAGACTTAAAAAGTTAAAATCTAGTTTTGTTAGTTAAAATCAAAGGAATATTTCCAGCATTTCCCTTTTTTTATCCATCTTCCAAACTACTTTCCTCCACGATTATAGAAATGAATACAAAGATGTGATTGAATTGTTGGATTGACAATCAGTAAGGGGGTGCCAACAAAAGTAATGTTGTAACTAATTATTTTTAACATTATTACTGAAATGTATTAGTCATTAGTTAAACTACTAGTTGCTGGAAAAATGTCACTGTCATATTATTACTAGCAATGAGTCACTGCCTGTGAGGCTGCAGGCACAGCGTTGCTTTAAAGGTCCAGTGTGTAACATTTAGGAGGATCTAATGGCAGGCAAGGATTATAATATTCATAGGTATGTTTCCATTAATGAATAATCACCTGATTATAGGAACCGTTGTGCTGTTGTTACAAGTGGCAGGTTAGCTGATCACCTGGAGCCACTCTGAGCATACACATAAAAAGATACAAAACACAATAATCCCCACTAATTTTAAACAACATCCAACAATTTAAGAGCAGACATACTGAAACATCACAAATCCTACAGTTATCAAACATTAAATCTATATAAATCAAATAGGGACACATGTATATATTAAATAATGTATTAAAACAGAGGTTCCTTACCTTCTTCTGTATGAGACCCCTTTTTATTTTATCATTGAGTAAACTGACTCAGTGACATATTTTATGCATATTTCGTATTATATTCAGTTTATAACAAAACACTACTGAACAACGGATAAACTGTACAATGAACCCAAACAGTCAACACAATAACGGCAGGAAGTTTGTGTAAAATTAGTAATTTGGATGAATTTTGAGCAGATTACTTCCTGTGAATATTGATCAGAGATTAGTTTTCCTGTTTTATGCAATTATCTGTCTGTACTTTGTATTTATTTATTTATTTTTTTCAACAATTGTTACTACTTAATAGGCCTCTTTTTTGATAAAATTGTCTTCTTTCTCATTCTTGGCCATTGTTCTATTGGTTGCTTTAACTTTTCTAATGCAGGACAAGGCTGTTTATCAGAGAATAAACTGAATACTAAGATATAGGCCTACTGTGTATATTGTTTAAGTTTTCTTAAACCCCTTAAAATCACGAAGGCCTTGTGACCCCCTGTGAAGCTTTGGTGACCCCTGGTGGGGGTCCCATCCCCCAGTTTTGGTAGCACTACATTAGGTGTCTTTTAAAACATTCTAACCAAGTTGTCAGGCTGTTTTTGGAGTTATTCCTTTACATTCCTCCCTTTACAAACCCTCTTAAATGAAACTAAATCAACAGAGAATGATTATCTATAAAATCTCCACCATAAAAGCCATATGGAAGAGCAATTCTTCTGTATTTATCTTTCAGGGAGGAAGTTACCCGTATGAAAACCACAATGGATTTTTGGGGCCTGATATATTTCAACAGAATACTAAACTGCAACAGAGTTTAATGCATGTATTAAGACATAATATCTTATATTCATTCAGATGTAAATAGTTTCCATAAAAAAGATATAAAAAGAGAAAGAGCTTATTTTACTTTCAGAGATTATTATTATTGGGATATATATATATGTATTATAATATTGAATGAAAGCTTTATATAGTTCTTACTGTTGGGTTGTGAGTTAAAGATCTCTGGGTCCTCTAATACATTAACACTCACACTCACACACACCATACTAAAGACAATGGGAATCTCTCTGTAAAGGTCAGGAAGAGATGAAAACAGCAGAGCTTGTAAAGGTTCAAGGATTTTTAAAGACTCTGAAGTAATTGAGACATTAACTGCTCAGTCTTTCCTTTTTTATCTTTTAGGGCACAACAACAATGATTTAAATATTCATGCAAACACTATTAATAATATATTAGCTGCACATATGATGGCTCTGATATCTTATAATGAACGGGAGAAAATGGCAACATTTGGGTCAGGGGGCTTTTATTCTGTGGTAAAAACTGAGGGAACAACAGGAGGATTATGAGCTTTAATTCACGGCATCACTTTCATGAGGAAAAGCAGAAAGAAAAACAAGCAAACGTGGTAACTTTTGCCAGTCTTTTTGTTCAGTTGAAGCCTGAAGAGCTGGAACAGAATGAGATAAATCTCAGGGTGAGGAAAAGGAGGTGGAAGTTCTTGACAAAGTCTGCAAATCTTGTAAGAAATCAAGGATCAAATCAAGGTCTTACATGCTACAACTTTGTGATAGATGCTGTCACACATAATGTGTGTAATGTTTGCTAATAAAAAATAAATAAAATCACTTATAACTGATTTAGAGGATTGGTGTGTCTGTGTCAATGATCTCTCTAAAGTCTCCAAACAGGTCAGACAGTCAGCTTCACCACTTACGCTGCTGTAGTCTTTTTTAAGTCTTCTAAGACCTGATACAAAGAGCTTGAATAACCTGAATGAACACAGGAAGAGACAAAACAGCACAGAATAAGAACCAATCCAGTGAATTATTCAACTGGAAAAAGAACTAACTAAAGCTGCTTTTAGAGGAAATAGTGCCTCAGAGCAAAGGGGAGCTCGCCTACAGTCTGTAAACATGAATGATAGCTAAGATAAAATGACTTATTCATTATAGAAAGACAGAATTACTGATCCTTCCATGATTTATTTTACTGCTTTTGCTTAGTTTAGTTGTTAATTCTGTGGGACTACACAGCATTGTCATGCTTTGTCCCACATATTGAGCCAATATTCCACATTTTGGTTACCACTGCATGAAAGATGCTTTTTCTAAAATCAGAATTTGTCCGGTGGCTGTGAAGCAAGCAGGGAAGGCTGTCATCACCAGGCTGTGGCTAATGTGAATCAACCTGCGCACACGTGGGCCTAGTGCAGGCTTATCTGTCACCATCTTTGCTACACTGCGCCCAACAGGGAAAATTCCAGGTTACCACAAAATAACCAGCTATGCAGATATTTGATGGTGAAGTACCACAAAGAAACAGAAATGCAGCTACAACAAAGAAGGGGAAACTAACTGGGTGAAGACGGTGCAAGGCGACAATGGCATGAGACCATAAGAACTGTAAAGCTTCCTTTTATCATTACTTAGAGTGGGAGATTGGAAAGTTGCATTCAAGCTCACTTTACATGCTAAAGGCCTAACCTGTAACCTGGATAGTGTATTGTGTGCTGAGTCAACCAGAGGCCAAAACTTACGTGTTACAACCTGAGGGGGAATAGAAAATCTTTATTTTTTAAGTTAGACATTCAATCAAAATGTCATGTCCCACATTTTTCCACACAAAAAACCCCAACTGACACACACCATTATTTTCCATTTTCTGTGGCTGTGGAGTTCTGAGGATTTGCCAGTAGGTGGTGATCTGTGCACATTTTCTTTTCCCACATTGCACCTGCTGAGCTGCTGTCAATGAGACGCCTCGTCTCTTGTCTCAAATCAATATTTTCAAAAGGCAGTGATCCATGTAATGGTTTTCCTGTATTCTTCTGGCTTTGTAAAACGGGGAAGAGAACTCAGTGGTGGATATTCACTCCACTGTGATGATTGGTGGGCTTTGCTCCAGGTGTCCGCAGGACAAAAGCTGCTGGATTTCTGTACATCCCCAAAAAGGAGAAGTCAGTACTAACAGTTTTACATCCTGGTTTTCACTTTCACTTCATAAACAGGAACTATACTCTAGAACTACACTACACCGATAAAATAACCACAGTTTACATCTGATAATGGTTTTCTGAAATTACGTTTTTGATGTCTGCGGTGTGACTGTGTTCAAGCTGGTATCGTTGTCTTTGAGCAGCGGATTTATGGCAGAAACTACAAGTGTAACAGGCGGTGTGTGAAAGCCACTAGCTGAATGATATAGTTTTGCTGAGTTTTGTCATAAATAATGTACAAAGTAAACATTTCATTCGCTGGACAAAAAAAAAGGACCTGTATCTGGAAAGAAACAACGGTGTATAAGTTTATGGATCTGTATTTAGATTTGTATATCATATCACATTATAGCATATAAAAATAAAATCTGTCAGAGATCAATCCTAAGAACTGATACTCGTTGAATCGATACAGAAAAACATCAATATTTGTGTCAGTGCTGCAATATTTGCATCTCTGCTGCTGTCTTGTGCATTCACATAATGTACATTTATTTATTTACCATCAAAACATTTTGTTTAAACATGTGATTAAGTAATTAACACAGAAAAACATAAAGAAATGGGTCATGTTTGGCAAATTATTTGGTGGTCACACTCCCCTATGATAGTATTTTAGCTGTTATTAACAATAAAAAGTATTGATACCTGTGATCTTGGACCTGGTATTGAAACCAAACTTTGTGGTATCATCCAACCCTAGCACTAACAGTAAAATAATTTCAAAATAATTAGCTGAACTTTGTAATTTAAACCGTTGGCAAATGTTATCACATGTCAGCTCTACTAGAGTTAACACTGTGTTTACACCTGGAGCAGTGATTGTGTGGTGCATGGTGGTTTGTGTTTCTCAAAAAAAAAAAAAGCCCTACATCCTCTCATGTCTGTTCCTGTTTACAACTTTCCTGGTTAAGTCAACCAATTTAATGCTAATAATAAAAAGGCAACAAGTGGGTTGGTTCAGCACAGGATACATTTTAGTTATCTAAGGACACTTTACTGAAAAAATACACAAATATCTTTGAAAGCAAATAAAATACAATAAATAAGAAATGTAAAAATAAAAAATCATTATGTAAGTGATTTAGAGGATTTGTTTGTCTGCGTCAAAGATCTCCATGAAGGTCAGACAGTCAGCTTCACCACTTACGCTGCCGTTGTCTTGAAGACCGGATACGAAGAGCTCGAATAACCTGAATGTGCACAGAAAGAGACAGAACAGCACAGAATAAAATGATTAAACTGCAAAGAAGCTATGTGCTATGTGTGTGTAAAAAAAAAACTAAAAGCCCCCAAAAGCTGGAGACGTGCTGTCGTTAGAGGAAATGATGCCTCAGAGCAGAGGTAAGCTCGCCTACAGTCTCTCTGTAAACATGACTGAACAACAGCCCACAGACAGTAAGAGGTGTCAGATTCCCACACTGGGACAGTCTGCATTACTCACATACAGAATACAAGATTTTATACACTAAATATGCACAAACACCTCTGATACTGTGTATATCCTTTTATATAATACACTCCTGGCCCACTTTATTATGTACACAGTCTAATACAATCAGCTCAGCCATAAAAGATAATAATATTCTGTTGATTGTATTAATTTAATGTTTATGATTGAGGTTGTAGTGTGGATATATTGGACTGCAATATATTATGAGGTGTTAGTAAGATTCCTCCCACCATCATGTTTGTAAATGTGGGTGTGAAACAACAATGCAAACTACAACCTTGATGATAAAAACTGATTTTAAAGTAAAATTAATGTAGTGTCAATAAAAACTGACCATTATTGTCTTTACAAAGGCAGAATTTATGCCTGCGTAGAGTTGGATTGCATTCGATTTCACAGGTGCACCTGATAAAGAGGCCACTGAGTGTAAAATCTACAACAAGTTAAATAACAGAATTAAGTCATTTGTCTGGCGCTGCTATCGGCAGGACTTTGAGTTTTATTTAGATCATATTTTGAGGTTTTAATAAGTACTTTGTTAATGTTGCCATAGTTATAATAATAAACACTTGGTTGAGGTGCTAATGGTGGTTATGCTTTTATAAAAAACCTATTTTGATTGTCAGTGCGAAATATTACAACAGGAAATGAACTGCGGTCTCTGGTGATAAAGACTGATATTTTGTTGTTCCGTCCATCCGCCCCAATCTCCTCCCTACACTGACTTTATCGCTTGATAATAATGTCACAGCAATTCCTACTTTCTTACTTTGTTCCCTTTACTTTCTATGTAATGGTACTTTTACAATGATGTCAGGGAAGAACCTGTGCAGTTATCAGCTGCTCCACACATATGACTTTACTTCATGAAGAGTGCTGCTGTCTGACACCATACTAGTTTTTACTAATATAACTGGTCTGTAATGATTAAATACAACTCTTGATTGGCAGTCAACCAGTACAGTAGTATTACACAGTAGCTACACCACTTCAAATGTGGCAGTCACTCTGTTTTTTTTCTCTATTTCTAGCTGTTGTCGTAACAATATCTAATATCTAACATTTGGATAACATTAAGCTCACCCATATAAGGGTCAGTAACTGGGGGCCACTGCCTAACGTCATCAATCGAACTACCCACGTGGCTGCTCAAAGAGTCACTGAAATATTTTATGTTATAACAAGATAAATAGTATATTGTTATGACAAGAAAAGTTTAACGTTATAAGAAATATTTGTTATAACAAGAAACGTTTGTATGTTGTAACAACATTAAATTATCTTGTCATAATGTGAAAAACATGTAACAATATGTTTATAACAATAAACTTTACATGTTTGAACGTGATACTGATCTGTTTTTCAACAACAAGTTGTGGCAATCTAGAACAAGATAAATAATTTATTGTTATAACAAGAAAAGTTCCTTGTTACAATCTGATAAGTTTGTATGTCATAATAACGTAAAAATATATTGTTGTAATGTGAAAAACATACTGTCATAACAATAAACGTTTCACTCTATAAGGTGATATTGTGTGGAAGCAATATGCTGTCATATCTGTCAACCTCAAAACTAAAAACATGTTTTTTTCTCTTTGCGACTTCATGTATCTCTCGTTGTGTAGGAGTCAGTCAGTCAGTTTATGTCGACTGCAGCTCCTCTAAATGCTGCAGCAAGGCCCTCTTGAAATATAGACTCGATTTTTAAGATTCTCTCATATGTTTTTAAAGCCCTACATGAGTTGGCACCGGCGCCGTCTTTTGATCAGTTTCTCCTCTCCCTTCCACATTCCCATTTATTCTTCATTTGAATCATCTATTCGTAAACCACTTCATGCTCTTTATGTTGACTTGACCATGTTTGCTTCATAACCTGTAACAAATCCATACAGTACGTGCAGATAAATAGAGTCTATTTACCCAAATGCTAATTATAGATAAAATGATTTTGGCCAGGCCCACTGCCACATAGCCCGTAATGGTCCACATGACGGGCAGGTCCACAGCTGGTTTGTGGCAGAGCGAGTCGTAGTGAGTCGTGTTCAGCACATTTGTCACTGTTGTCAGGTCAGCCTGGGTTGCACATACTGCATTTAGACAAAAATAGAAGAAACCAGTATATAAATGAGATATTTCAGCCCAGACTGGTAGGAATCTATCACAGCAATAACTGATTGTATCTTATCGATGATTAAACATGATTTCTTTGAGAGGTTTAACAGACAGTTTCACAAAATTTCTAACATAAAAATATGTTTATACCTGAAATCGAAATCATTTTATCCAGCAGAAGTAAGACTATAGCATATTTTATATTTCCAATGAATGGAAGAAATGCATACATAAAAAGGTCACAATGGAAAGGAAAACTATGTTGTGTTTGAGATGATGGATGAGAGAGTGTTTCCTGCTTTTTGATGTGGTCTACACTTTCTGTGACTGTTTGCAGAAATGAGGTTAAAAAAAATCAATTTGGGTCATGAAATTTTTGCATCGCATCATATATGGTATGTGGTTTAAACTGGTGGTTTTCAACCTTTGCCTTTAAAGGAGTAAACTGACAACACCTGACTTAGGGACATATTTATAAGATTATTTCCTGTGAATATTGATCAATATTGAGTTTTCCTGATAATTTAAGGTACTCTTTATGCAATTCTCTGTCTGTATTATGTATTTGTATCATTATTTAATCAATAATAAACACTTAATAATCTTCTTTTGTGACAAATTCAGTGTTTCCTTCTACCTGATTTTCTTCTATTAACTCTTTATTTGTTTTAACTGCATACTTTTCCAATGCAGGACGGAGCTGTTTAACAGAGAGTGAAGGCTCTGCAAATGTAGCTTGTGTTCAGGACCTTAAAGTTTATATCTTAAATAATAATCTAAACTCCGAGTTAGGGGCTCGAACCCCAGGTTGGGAACCGATGTTTTAAACAGAACTTAAATCCAATCTTGTAGGTGTTTACTAATTTAATGTTTTCTGAAGCATCTCACTGGGAAACTGTGACTTAAATTAGTCACAGTTAATGAATTAATTCATTATTAAATAATTACTTTTTAGACTTCAAAGACTTTTGGGACTTGCAGTATCAACTCTTTAACTGTCAAATATATAATATATAGCCTATATAAAACATCTTATTACTGCATGAGGAATCCTAACTTTTGAGATGAGATATAATAAAAACATTTAAACATACTTCAACATACTATCCAGATAGATGTGTAGCTCAGTTCAGATGCTCTGAGTCAGTGAAGCATTATATATTTTGCAAAGCTCACCATTAACGTTCAGGATGACTTTGTCATACTGATTTTGGCCCCCTACATTTGCACTGATGGAACACTCGTAGTTGCCTGAATCTTCAGGCGTCACTCTGGTAAGCAGCAGACTGTGTTTCTCTCCAAAACTGGCCGGCCGAGGGAAGTTGTAGCTCTGCGGCACCTTATCATTTTTACCTCTCCTGATAATGCCACGCTTACTCTGGTTGAACTGTTCAAAGTAACAACCAAAAAAGACATTTTTATACATCCATATGACAAAAATAAGTTACTGAATGTTACTGACTGTGGAGTTTGTAATCACTGTGGTGTATCAGTTACAATACACTAGAGGATTTAATGGTTTCTTGTACTTTACTGGAAAGGCTGTACAGGTTTACTCTTGAGTTGTACTGTGTGTCTAGAATAACAGACCACTGCAATTAACTGTAGCATCATAGAAGTGATTCACTGACCTTATACCATGTCACTGAGAGGAAATCCGTGAGGCCACTTTCAAGACTTGGACACTTCAGTTGGACATCTTCATCACAGGCTGCAGTAATTTCTGACGAAGTCTGTGTTGCGTAATGCACCAACAACAGCTGAGATGGTCAAACACAGTGTTCAGATCAGATTTCTATCAGTGTGCACGGCATAAAAAACACTGAGCTACTTATGCTCCTTTAGTGGATGAAATTATCCATAAAATGTTATAAGATTGAATTTTATAGTTAAATAAAAAGTTATAATTATATATATATTAAAAAAAAATCTGATTTAACTCACCTTAATGAACAGTACCTTCTGTAACATCTTTTAAACTTGAGTTATCTGTAACAAGTGGTGTTTTTTCTCTCACTTCACTGGAAATTGAGTCACTTCCTGTAAAGGGGCATGTTTTAGCTGAGTATTATTATTAGATGGCGATATGCCATCGTGTGGTGCTTGAGAGCAGTGCAACTGCAATTTCCACATTGAAATGTCCATCAACACTAGACCTATGTTATATACATGTACTTACATTATCCCAAATGTTTCCAATATTTTATTTAGGGAACGGTGCTTTTCCGCTTTGTGCATGCTTCAGCGTTGTGGTTGAAGCTGTTATAAACTGACTTTTTATCTAGTTTTAAGGCACATTTTTACGATACACTTTTTAGACCTTAGTGGGTTTTAAGTATATATTTTACTATAACTATAATATCATTTTTAGTTATCAGAGAAACAACCACAACATTAGCAGCAGCTCAGCTGGCAGGCCGCCCTCTGTCTACCAAATAACATAATAAAAACACACAATTTAAAGGTGAAACTGCTTTATTCAGTGTTTTTACCGGTTTGATTTACCGGTTCTGTTTGTTTTGGAGAGGAGGAGACCTCTGTGGATTATTCGGCTCCCAGTAAAAACCTCCTGAATGATGAACACACTTTTTAGAGAAAGGGTTAGACGCAGCTTCTCCCTAATCCAACACTGGAAAGGTGTGGGGTGGAGGAGGCGGTTCCGAAGCTATTTGATCATCCATCAAGCAGTTCTGATGGATTATACTGTCAAATTAACTTCTCCCCTCACTGCAGTAATACAGAAGTGTGTTCATCACTGTTGGGTGTAGTGACAGGTGCAACAAAACACATTGTGAAACAGATGCCTTCAACCAGAGTGGGCCATAAACACACAAACAAACAATGAAACAGGGCAACAGAAGACAGTGGACATGTGTGAATACTATTCATATAACACAATTCTAATACTAACACACAATACAATAAGCAAGTATAGGATTATATAGAGTGTTAGGCTATATGTGGGTATCTTGGCAATTTATGGTGTATTTCAGGGGTCAAAATTGTCTTTGGGGCCACTTCAACGTTCAACTATTACAAGAATATTCTGAAAATATTTCCATTACTAACATTATAATTAACAAAAAAAAAAAAATGCAACAACAAATGAAGGCCCGAAACCTGCTTTCTCCTTATCAACCCTTTACATGCATTTGCAGTCACCTTTGACCTTTGCCATTATTTTGCACCAAATAAAAAAAAATATATATATAATTGTGTCTTTATTTGAATTGTGTATCAAAGGAGTTTAATTGACATGAAACAATTAGGAAACAAATCTTACATCCTGTCGAAGGGGCGATGAAGGGCTGGAAATGGCCCCCGGGGCCGGCAGTTTGAGTCCCCTGGTGTGTGTTTGAATAAAGGAGAATTATTGTACGTGGAATAGATAGAACTTGAACCTCTTGCACCTAATTGTGGTGCAACAGGTTCACAAATGGTCTGGATTTGCCAAAACGGATGTAACCTAGTTGGTCAGACATGACTGACTTACATACTGGAGGCTCTCATCAGTCACACACACACACACACACACACATACACACACACAGTGAGGCTGGCTCATCCTGTTGTTTTCATCCCAGGGAACTCCCCATTGTCTCCCTTCAAGCATATTATTTGTATGTGTCGCTCTTGTTGACAAAGGAGGTCGATATATGGTTATTAATAGCTGACTGGTTTTATGGAAAAGGGAAGAGTGAGGTCTTTGGATTCCGACATCTGCATCAAACAATGCCTCATTCAGCAGCAGCTGGCACAGTGAACACAGGGAGGTAGAAATGTACTGATTTTACTACAGATCATCAGTGGAAATGAGGATATTTTTTTTGTCCGCTTCCTTATTGGACACTGGTAACTGTGCAGCTGTGAGCAGTTTTAGATTTATGACAAGGGTTAATCTCAGCATAAGAAAGAAATAGCAAAGCGTCATACTCTACATTTTTGAAATACTTTTCATGTGTTGGTCACCGCAGATGTTCTAATACTCCAGCGCAGCGTTTATTTACAGTTATACAAACTACGTGTTTTAAGGAAATACTGTGATTATTAACTTCAGTGACAAAAAAAACAACAACTGCTGAAGCTTGTAAGACTTTAGTTGTGACTTTCTGAGGGTTTGATTGTTGGAGTCGAGTGCACGTGTAATGAGTGCATGTATGTGTTTGATTCTGGCTCTTAGTGTTGTAGTTAAATGGTGTTGCACGCCACAGTAAATCCCAGAGGTTGTTAGCACGCCCAGCTGCTAGTGCAGGTCTCCATGTTTCTGTCAGCAAGGTTGTTCACCGCACACTCTTTCGCCTCTGATTGAGGAAATCCTCTGACTGTTTGCTCTGTTTGCTGAAATTAAACGTCCCAATAGTTCCGCCATCTCTCCCACAGGTCCTGTACATGGAGACTTTCCCATGAAGACTGTGCATGTTTACTGGGGTTTGACAGATATATAGCTCTTTGATGGGCCGTAACAGTACCAATGTTTTTGTGCTACAAAGGCTGGTAGATGATATTTTGAGATAATTCTAGTTATTTCTTTGTTTATTAACTTTGTTTTATTGTTTTGAGAAAGAAGATCCACTAAAATGGTAATTAAAAAATTCAAAAACTGAAATTAAAACTAATCAAATCCCTCTTACTTCAGTTCACATAATGTTTTTATTGTCCCACAAGAGGAAACAGTTTTGCAGCAAGGAAGCATAAAAACATAAACCATAAACAAGGACAATTGAAGACTTTAGAGATTAAAAGTGCTCGTACTAGACATGCAATACAGAAAGCAATGAAAGGTTACTGTGATAAAACACAGACAAACTGCAGCAATAAGAACATGAACAAGCTAAAGGGGTACCAAGAGGCAGTTTATGGTATATCAGAATTAAGAGCATGTGTTACACATGGGATGAATGAAAGTTGTAACTTGTTGCACCTCATTTTTTAAAAGACCTATCATCTCTGACTCTGGGAGGATGTCAAATTCCTTAAAGAGGAGGTGATTCATATTTGTGATGATGGCTTTCTGTGTGATTTTTGAGCTGAAAAGGTCAAACAAAGGGAGGCTCCTGCTCACCAGTGATTTTACTCTCCACCTCGATAATGTCCCAGTCGATTCGTGTTTTGCAATGTTCAACCTTCCCAGGTGATACAGTCTTTGTTGCCCTTTCTTGCAACCAATATAAAAAGCTATTAGGCTAATTAGTTATTTAGCTCTTTAAGGTTGTAAAATAAACTCTAGTAAAACACCATAACAAAGAATGTAGCAAGTACATCAATAGATAAAATACACACATAAAAACACAACTCAATTGTGGATTATATGATGTTTTATGTAGCTTTCCTCAGTCAGGTTAGCAGCAGCAAACCTTAAAACCACTATAACCCCCATTGTTATGTTTCTATATGCACAGTTTGTGAAAGGGGTCACTCATAGTGATAGTGTATATCTGAGGTGTTTTGAGCTAAATGCTAAAAGCATGCCAACATGCTGTTCAGTGGGTGTGATACTTACCTTTGTCACAATATTAGTTTGGCGTGTTAGCCTGATAGAATGTGCTAATTAAAATGAATTACAAGTTGCAGCTGAGGCTGGTGGGAAGAACATTAGTTTTGCAGGAATTGCTCACAAACAAAAGTACAGGACACATTTAAATTATGACCTGACGATGGCACTAAATGGAAAGTCAACAAAGTTATTAAAATTCATCCTCTGCAGACCATGAATGTCATGACAGATGTCACAGTAACACATGCAATAGTTTTTGTTTTCTTTACGTGTTTCTGGTGCTTTCATGGATAGGACAGCCCAAGATAGACAGGAAAGGGGGTTTAGGACTCAGCCTTGGTACATGGGGTGCCAGTTCTACCTGGTGAGCCACCAGCTCCTAGACACATGCTGTTAGCGTGCACTACCTGCTGAGCACCTAACAGACAAAGTTAAAATAGGCAACTAACTGAGTGTAACTTTATATGGTGATAATATGTTTACAATATGTTTACAGATTGTTTCTGCTGTCCCCTAAGTGGACCAAAAAATCAGCTGTTGCAGATTTAACTGACTGATATCTGGTATTCAATCAAATGGCAATTTTTATTTAAACTAACACACACACAAACATGCACTGTAATAATTATATGGAGTTACACATGCCTGAGAGTATGTATATATCCATATATCAATTGATTTTTTTCTTTTCTGTTTCATCTTGATAAAACGTTTCTTCTGCACTGAGAATGTATGACTGGCTGAAATGATTCCCGTCTTTGTGAGGGAACTGAGGCTACAGGGCTGCATCACACTGCCGGTTCAATTGTTTGTTTAAGGAAGTAAAAACCCCTTTCAGTCTATATTGCTGGATTTTCACCTCTGCCTTGGGACTTTGGCAGGCTACTGAGTGCTGGAGGTTGATTGTGCGAGCCTGCAGCAGAACAGAGCTGTTACGACGATCTGTATTGTTCCCTAATTTCTTCTCTGGGATTTCCTCTTGCCAGCTCCCCCTACCCACCCATCCCCTTCACTGTACAGCCCTCCATCATCCTCCCTCTGTCTGAAGGCCCTGCCAAACTCTCTGGCACATGAAAACAATTGTTCTTGTACGTTTGAAGAGACACAACCGGCTCCTCAGACAGGCTTTTTCTCCCCTTCAGAAGCTCAGCTGACGGTCAGGCAGACAGACTTCCTCCTCCTCCTCCACCTCCTTTTGGAAAAGTGGTCATGTTCAGTAAAATCGGAAGCGAGGTATCTGACTCTCGAGCCACAAAGTGACTCAGAACCATTAATATCTTTGACATGCAGGTGGAGCGAGGGGCCATCTCCCCAGCCAGTGAGTGTTTGAAACATGCTGAAGCCGCCTGTGAGAGCAAAAGCTATTAAAATATTACCATGTGTAGGTTTGTTTCTAACAAGAGCTCTCTGGCAATACTACAAAATGCTCAAGGTAAGCACCCATCTGGGAATCAGGACTGCGCTCCCAGATGATGTTGAAAAAACGCTTTACATCCTTCCTCTTTCTGGATCATCTATTTCAGCTTTTTCCCCCTCTTTCTTTTGGTGAGGCAAGAACAGGAACACGTTTGAGCTGTCAGAGCAGTGATTTGTGTTTAATCTGTAAAGATGTTTTCAAGGAGCCATTGCTCGGCAGGATTCATTAAATCTGGCTTCCTAAATGTGACAGTTTCTTCTTCTTTTTGTTTGTTTAGATCAATAACTGTTAGTCAATCAACATGAACAGGCCGAGATGTTACATTATGTCAGTTTCTACTACATTTATGCACAAATAACTCTCTCCAAAAGGTAGAAATCAGACATCTGGTAGGCAATAAAGCACTGAGCTTCTAACTGGCCAACATAAAAAGGACACATTTCTCAATATTGTTTCACTTTAAAGGTAACTTTATTATACAACTGAACTTTATTGAACTTCACTGCTGTAGTGCAGCCATTTGGCATCCAAATCCTGCCCACATATCTTCTGGAAATCATCATAAAATTTGTTGCTGCTACTTTGTGTGATTAAATCCGACACACTGAAAGTCACTGTGTGGTCTGGACCCAATCTGGGTTGATGTAACACCAACACAATACTGAGTTACACAGTACCCATGAGTAGAAACCCACCTAAGAGAAGGGTTTGATTTGATGCAGTGTTAATGTTATTTATCCAAACTAAAACATGGTATAGTTGCAAACTGTTACAGTTACATGTCACTATTTGTTAGTGTTAATATAATGTTAAGTTCTAAATATCACATATCACACATCATTTTGTACAAATAACAATAAATTAGCAACAGTTTTAAGGTTAAACTGTGTCAAGATAACCATATCTTGTAACAACATTGGGTCAAAACCAATTTTGGAAACCAATTGGTACTCATAAAGTTAACCTAGTATTGCATCTGTGATATATTGACAGTTTTTAACCGGTCATTTTCAGTGTGAAGCAAAAAGCATCTCTCTCTCTCTGTATCTGTGCTACTTCATTCTATGTTTATTTATATAAAGTTATAAACCTCACAAATTCACAAATTCCTTCACAAATATGATTTAATATAGCAAAGAAAAGTAATTAAATAGAAGAAACAAGTGTTCTTGTCTTCTTTTTTTACCTTTCACAAAACAATTGAGCACAGGCTATCAAGGTCATTCGTCATCTCAGCTCACAAAGCTGGCAGGAGGAGGTGGAACTGCCCTCTAGCTTCATTTTTATCTCCGTTGAAATTCTTCCTCTTTTGGGATTAAGAGATGCGAGAATTCGAGGAAGAGGAAAAACTCACCAAAGTGAAGTAGTAAACCTTCGCAGTGGTCCCCAGGTGGAGCCTCGCCTGTCATTTGTTAAACAGATCCACACTGACCTTATTTGCTGCCTTTACTTGTCTCCCCCATCTTCTTCTTCTGATGGTCTCTGCCATCAATTTGTTAGCTGTCATCTTGGAAAAAAAAAAAGCCTCCTTCTGACTTTGTTGAAAACTCACTATTTGGTTCGCTCGCTCTGAAAAGTACCACTAGAGAGCTGTACATCTGGGTCCCAGCGCCGGATGATGTCAAGACTGGCGCTGACCCAAAGCCCGTCGCAGAGAGAGTTCCTCAGAGAGGTCGGCTGCGCACTGTTTTCCCTTCCTGTGCCTCCGTGACATCTTCCTGCCGGAGGGAGCCTCGGGAGCCATTTGAGGAGGCCCGGGCCCCGAGCATGGAGGACTTAGCACAGCAAATTCCAATTAGCCTGACAGGGCAGGTGGGGGTTGTGGGAATAGAGCGTGGTGAGGGGAGCTCGGACCCCCAGCATGCACCTTAACTGCCTTAAAATTCACTTTCCATACACTTCCCATCCTCCTTGTGCCACCGGGGAGCCTCTCGCTGTCATTTTGAGGACTGAGTTTGTAGTCTGATTCAAAGCGATGCCAGACAGGAACTTTGGCTCAGCTGTCTGTGTATCTGAGCCGCAATCCGCCTGTTAGACAGATCACTAGAGTGTCTTTTTCAGACTGGAGAGGACAGAGAGAGGCCTGCGGAGACTGGGCTGCTTTTGCTCAGCAGTCTTATTTCTAAGAAGTTATTAAATGTTTTCCGCTGAAAGTGGTCTGAATCGGCTCTGTGCTGTGGAAACCACGTAGCAAAGAATATATAAAAGTAGGAAATTAACTAACTTTTGCAGTCGATTGTAAGAAGACAAATAAAATGGTAATTATTTGTCATGATGATAGTGATCGTAAGAGCCTGATAATCAGGGTCAGAGTGAATCTTCAACATCTAGTTATGTGAACTAATAATAAGACATCAAATCATAGAAAGTCAAGTTACCTTCAGGACACTGTAATGCCAGAAGTTATTTCAAATGGATTACATCGAGTAACACAAACTCAATTTTTGTAAGTTAAATAAAGATTCCTGATTAAGCAACTTTTTACTAAGTGTTTTGTTTTCACAGCACAAATAAAAATTACAAAAATAAGTTAGTGTAACTTAAAATCACTAAAGCTACAAAATCAAGAATGTTTCTTTAACTTTGAGTTAGTTTTACTTAAAATATTTGATGCAATCAGTTTCAACAATTTTTGGAGTTAAATGAACTCATCCGGTTTTACAGTGGATCAAGGCCTTCGTTACATTCGCAGCATTCGGCATGATTACACTTCAGCAAGGTTTCATTTCAGTGCTCCACCGTGACCTCCGACCTCTCACCCCATCTCTCCCTGTCCACTGGACCCACAGCAGTGATTTATTCCTCTGACATACCAACAGCTGTGTTGGGGTTCCGAGCAGAGTGTGGGCTACTATTTGCCGTGACTAATCGATAACAGACTTCAAAAAACACTAATCGTGAGAGTTGGAAAAAAAATACACCAGTCACTGACACCAGAAACCCTGAACCTTTGCTTTGGCTCTGCAGGCTTCATAAACAACGTCTTGGCAACATGACTGGAAACAATGGAAGTGTGTGTGTGTGTGTGTGTGTTTGAGACAGAGACATCTTCCCATAAAGACATAAAAAAAACGTTTTATAACACTAAGTCGGTTGTTAGGAAAAAACGATTTTTGCAAATGGAGCTAAACACAGTAGCTTAAGTGAGCAGTTAGGTGTCAAACAAAGAAAATTTATTATTAGAAATTTAAGTTGAGACCATTTTCCAAACTGCAGTTGAGCTTCTTGTCATGTAACAAAAACATCCTTTTTTCTAAAAATGTCAGACCAGCTCGAAAACAAAGAGTCTCAAAAGATTGTTAGTCCCAGAAATAAACATTTTCTATTTTTAATTTTGTCCATATAATCAATGTCCCAGACATTACCACGATCTGAGGTATATTATGACTTTGCACTTAATTTTGTTTGACAGCTTCTTTTTTTTCATGGCACAGTTGTGTTTCTTGTTTATCACAAGACAAACCACATTTTAATGAAAATCAGGAAAATAATCTCTTTTATTTTGATAAAATATATTTTATTTAAAAAGATTTGTGGAAAAAAAAGGACAAAAACGAAATAAAAGAAATAAGTTTCAAACAAATGCACTGCATCTCTGAAAGTCTTATGTTTAAATTTCTCAGTCAAGTATAAATAGTCTCTTCTTTGGTTCCAACATTTGATCCAGCATGTGTACATGTGTGTTTGTGTGTTTGTGTGTGCTGTGTAACACCAGCTCTGACTCTTCCCTGAGAAAGTCTTTGAGGATTTTCAGGTTGCTAATGATTCACTGGTCCTCTGTCAGCGTCTCATTCGCAGTGGACCCAGCCCTCTCATTTTTAAACAGTCTTTGCCATCTTTTATCTGGGGGGGGAAAGGAGTGGAAATGCCTCAGTCATATAAAGATTCAACAATATTTAATTTAACTGCACCAGATGCATTGTATTTCTATAAATATAGACATGATGTTTACTTTCTACAAATCAGCAACTGTTTCTCAAGTTTCTCTCCGTTTGATTCTCACATTTATTTTCAAAATGCAAAAGAGGAAGCCACTCATTATGTTATATCTCACATTATGTTTTGCGTTCTAACAGTCATTAAAAAAATGTTAATAAAAAACACCTGTGTCTGTCTGAATGTGTGACGAATTTATAACGAGCGCGAAGACATGTGCCGTGCGTAAAAGCGCGCACACACTCATAAATAATGCAGTTACACAAACATGGTCACGAATGAAAGATAAACAGATGCTGCATCAGAACAAACTTTCTCAAAAAAGCATCATGAAGACAAAACAAAAATCGTGTCTGTATCCTGCCACTCTGAAATATTTAGCAGTTGTATTTAAGCTGCGCTGGATTTTAAGCGGTGCTGACTTTTGGATAAACAGTAACACAGTATTTACCCCTTTTCTCTGGTTGCTCAAACAGAAGGTGCAGATGGTCCTCGGCTGCTGCGCCCCGCTCTCTCCTTGCGCATGAACCGCGCCGAGGCACGGCTGTTCCTCTGCGCCGCCGTCCCCGAGAAGAAGCACGTTGGCCAGATGGGAAATGTAGCTGGATGCCAGTCGAAGAGTTTCGATTTTGGAGAGCTTTCTATCCACTGGCTCGGTGGGTATGAGAGTCCGGAGAGCTGTGAATGCGGTGTTGACACTCTGGGTCCTGCCTCTCTCCCTGGCGTTAGCTGCGCTCCTCTGTTTCACCACCCCGGTGTCTCCTTCCAGATTGCGCGAAATCCTCCTTCGTTTTTCGTTGGAGCCACAGTAACTTTGCTCCGAGCTGCCGTCGCTTTCGCTGCGGTTTTCCTCGTCCTCGGACGTGATAGTGAAGTCAGAGTAGATCAAGTGTGTCGCCACAGGCCGCAGCATGGCGAAAGTCATCATTAAAAAGTTCCAGCTCCAAATCCCCTATTAGAGCAGACCAAAAAAAAAACTGCTCAAGGACTAACACTACATCTCAATATGGCACAAAGGCTGCACACAACCACTAATGTAAAAAGGTTTTAATAAAGCTGACAGACTTTCAGTTTGTACTGGCCTGCTTTAAGGATGGACCCTGACTACCTGGTCAGCTGGGCTCTTATAGCTGGATGGGAGGAGCTGAGTGAGAGCTGAGCTGAGTAATCTCTCAAGACTCTGTATACACAAATTATAACTCATCATAAATATGACACATTGTTATAAACAAATTCACAATAATAAGTGAAAGTGATCCTTTTATTACTGGAACACAGAGACACACTGCGACTGAAAACAGTTTCATTTTTTTTTTTTTAGAAAGAAAAATACTCTTTAGTTTACTTTAGTATTGAAAGAAAAGGTTATACCTGTAATCAGTGGTGGAAGAAATAATCAGATCCTTTACTTAATAAGGATAGAAACAGTGAAAATACTCCATTACAAGGAAAAGTCCTGCATGCAATATTAATTAAGTAAAAGTATTTGTGTTAGCAGCAAAATATATAAAAAGTAAAAGTATTCATTATGCAGAAAACCCCCATTGAGTGGATTATTACTGAATATTATATTATTATTACTCATGTACTGTAAGCTGGTGAAGGTCCAGATAGTTTTTAATTACTTTACATAAAATACATAATTTTAATAAACTAATCTAATCTTCTGCATGTAAAATTGTAAACATCAAAGTAACTTGTAATTGTAGCTGCTGATATAGTAATGGAGTAAAAAGACAATAATAATAATTGCCAAAGAAATGTAATATAAAGCTGCAAAAGTGTACTTCCAGTACTTAGTTTATGTTCTTAGTTTCTACTGCCTGTATTGACAGGATGGATTCAACACTTCTCTCATATAAAATGAGTGTTTCAGGCCCAGGGGCACGACTATAAACTTCCAAAATTCAAATGTATACGTTATAGAGTCTATTAAAGGCATTCAGGGACTACAGTTTGCTTTTGAGTTATTTTACAGTTTACTATCTTGTGTTAGTCTGACATGTTTATGGTGCTGCCGCCCACTGAGGCTTGTTTTTGTTGGCCTGGTAAACCACACCGATACAGTCAAGACCAAAATGAATCTCACTAAACTTCAGCTTGCTCAACGTCTAAATAAAATTGTGCAGGTGTTTGGAGAACTCGCGCAATGGATGTGTATGTAAATGCTGTTTGTCCGGCCAATTCTCAAATTTCCAATGGAAATTATCAAGTCAAATGTAAGAAGTTCTTTCATTTGAATATCTTTTTGAGGAGGCCAGACTTAATGTTTGCTCCTTTAGTATCACTACTGGAACAAACAGGCTTGGACTAGTACATAATTATGTCATCATATTAAGCTGCCATTGGGCCATACTGAGGAGCACAAAGTCAGGCAGCAGAAGAAAGTTAAGTGTGAGTAAATAAACACTGAGCAGATGATCCTGGAATGGCAAGGATTTATTTGCTTGCTGCCCCGAGTTCAGAAAAACAAAGCAGTGGCAAATGGATGATTTAGTCCCTCCTAGCCACATCAACAGACACAAGTCTTCACAGCCAGCAGCACATTCAACCACTTCAATGTGCCTCAGCTGCATCAACAGTCAGACATCAGACACCTAAAACTGTCTGCTGAATGAGCGCTGAGGTCTTATAGAGGACAGCAACCAAACACAGGTTTCTGCAGCAGCAAAAGAGCTGTGTGAATATTTAAATTAGGAAAAATAAGGTAGTTTCCCTGGAGAGTTAACTTCATAGAAATTAATTTTTAAAATTATGAGCTATGAAAGACACATAAACTGATTGTAATATGTTGTGATATTTGATAACAGTCAACAACACCCCACCAGTCTCAGACACTCTCTGCTGCTGTATGGTTACTTACATATACCAGGACCCGTGACGACTCACTGTGGATTTATTTTGCAGTACAAATGTGTGTGTGTGTGTTGTGGTGTGTGTGCTGTGTGTGTGTGTGTGCGTGTGCGTGTGTTGACTTTGGACTAAAGACAGAAGTTGAAGCTTCTCTCAGAACAACTCTCTTATTTCATAGAACTGTAAAACACCCCTTTTGCTCGTCCGGATGAAGTAGATCCATTTATCCATACTGATGAGCCGACAGCATGTTGGGTTTGCCACCCACTGAGTGCCGCATTGTTGTGCTTCAGAGATCTCTGAGAACGGCAGCTCTCTCTGAGCCACCGAGCTCAGACAGGAAGGTTTTCTGTGTCTGTGCTGCTGTATGTTTTTGCCTTTCTCTGCATGTCAACGTCAGTCTGTCAGTTCATCACTTTACAAGATGGATTGCCATGAAATTGTACAGATATTGCTGTTATAAGGATAAATCCTTATAACTTCAGTGGATCTCCTGACTTTTCCTCTAGTGCCACAGAGGTTGACACTTTTAGCTTTTAGTTAAATGTCTCGACATTATTTGGACAAATTGCCATGAAATTTGGTTCGCATATTCCTGTTCCCCATAGGATGAATCCTTATAACTTTGGCAATCCTTGGACCTTTTCTGTAGCGCCACCAGCAGGTCAAAGTCAGTTATTTTATGAGTCAGTTAGCAGACATTCATAGTTTCCAGAGGATGAACCCCTTATGACTTTGTTGATGTTCTGACTTGAGTGAATTTTGAGTGAAATGTCTCAACAACTACTGGATGAGTTATAATAACTTCAGCGATCTCATCACCATCATCATATCTCAACTTTAATTTGTCCAATATTACTTCTGATATTACAACTACTACAACTACATTTATAAGAAAAATATTCCCATTAACCTCAACTGTAGTTGGTGTTTAGTGCTAATTAGAAAATGTTCTCATTTTCAACTCATATGGTGAAAATAGTAAACATTAACCTCCTAAACATCAGCATGTTAGCCTATTGTCAGTGTGAGCCTGTAATTAACTAAAGACAAAAAATAGCTACCAATATAACTGTATTTCACAATATTATCTAGTTTCATTAGCACATTAAAACTTGTGTGCACAGTCAATGAGAGTATTTAAAGGTTATATTTATATGACATTTAAAATATGAACATAGCAGCAAACAGCTATGTAAAGATATACTGGAGTCCTGAGCAGAGAATAACTCCCTCTGCCTGTGTTGCTATCACAGCCTCTCTGTGGTTTGTTTACATAGCTGGTCTGCTCTGCATGCAGCTGAGTAGAGCGACTGAAACTGCTCTTTTTTTAAACTATGCCGTTAAATTAAGGATTTATTTCAACCAAACCAAAGATTGTGATTATTGGAACAGTGGAAAGACTAACAAAGACTGTTCTGGGGAGTTTTATTTTGTTTCTGTCCACTTTGAATGAAGTTGTGATGTTTTTATTGAGTCTGTTTCTCGCTAAACTAAAGGTCTATCTCTGTACAGATCCTTTCCTTAATGTTGTCAGACATACAGAATAACAATCTGAGACTGTCAGTGGCAAAAACAAGCACTTGTCTTGTCTCGACGGATTAACATTAGCTTATGTTGCAGCCACAGTCGCCCTTTTCACTGATATTTTCACAACTAAATCTGGGTAATAAGGGTTTATTTTAACTAAATCAGCTTTGGTGATTGTTGGAAAGACTAACAAAGATGGTTTTGGTGAGTTTAATTTTATTACTGTCCTATGTTTGGTCTGAGATCCTGTGCTCTAGTGACACCCAGTGGCAAGGGTATTTCATATATAACCTTTAATGCTGTTGGGCAGCAGTCGCTCTGCTCCTAATCCACCACTGTTTCACTGACTTATGGGTGTCGTCTTTGTTGAGTCACTGACACCGGAAATGCTCGAAGAGAGCATTGGCAACTCTCCAGCTTTGCCCCATTATCCAGGTTTCATCTACTGCTGACATATTTGCATACATGTCTAATGTATGAGCCAAGAGAGCTGGTTAATGCTCGTTACATTCAAATCTGGTGATATTCTATACTTTTCTTTTTTGTCAAACAACTCCATTAAAATCTGAAAACCAACAATGAATTAATCCTACAAAGTACAGCCTTCTAGCCAAAGCCGGACATAGTTTATTCCTCCGTGCCGTGGAGCTCCATTGTTGTCCAAAAACTATTAAAAACACATCAATGCAAAGCCACACCTTTGCACTGGGTAACATACAGTATTTCTCCATCACAACAAACACTGCAAATGTAGTTTATTTGGACGTGATCCCACACACACAGTCCTGTGGCTGTAAATCCCAACAAATACACTATTTACTCCTTTTAGAGTAACATGCAGCCAGAATTTAAATGGTAAAATCAGGACCCTGTTTAAAAGATTTATATCTTCAGCTTGGGGATAAAAGAAACAGACTAGGACTGACTGGGGACAGGACTAACTCACTGTTGGTTTTGGTCTTTTCAAGGGATTTGGCACATCCCCCTGTCTTCCAGTGTTTCTGGCAGCACTTAGGGTAGGTTATGGTCTGGCATTGCACAGGAAAAACTGCTGGGGGTTAGAGCTGAGGTTGTGTTCAGGTAAAGCTACAGAGAAACATAAATCAATGGTGGAAACACAACAACGTCCAATTACATACTTTCCCTCATCCTTGTTCAGTGAAGCATTTGTAGAGGGGGATGTGTACTGTGGCATCATGGTCTAGGTTTATCAGGCTTTAGCAGGGATTGCAAAATCAAATTGTCTTGGGACCACTGCTGGTATTGTCGTCTCATAGGAGGTCGACTTCAATACTACAAGACAGCTGTTTCTATACATTTTTATAGCATCTTTATTGTTCACAGCCAAACAACAAATGAACACCAGATAACGGCTCTCTTCTAATCAACCCTTTACATACAATTGCAGGTACTTTTGACCTTTTTGACCACCATTATTTTGTTCGATTTCAACCTGTGGCCCTTGTCATCCTCTCTCCCTACTTTCCTGTCACTCTTAAGCTGTCACTATCAATTAAAGGCAAGGCCAGCTTATATTATATTTCTCCACACATGTGCACACATCTGTGTTTGAACATGGGGACATACAGTAGTTATTTTTCTTAAGGGGCCCTATTGATGAACATTGCTGGTATGTTGTGTAGGTGCATCACTCATCCCCTTGCATGAAAGTCCAGCTGTTCTGTTGCATGTGGACTGTAGATGTTTGTAAGGTGACAGAGATCGTCAAAGTGACTGATGTCACAGTAGGGACTTTGGGCTTTGCTTACACCTACAGCTGAAGCCAACAGAGTGCTGTTAGAGGACAAAGCTGACGTGAAGCGCATGATAATATGTTTGACCACAGACGATGCCTTTTAATGAGTCAACTAGTCCTTTTATTCTGGAGTCGTTCACTCTGATTATCATAGCCATGCAAATAGAGCCACAATACAAGTTTTGAAACCTGTGTGAAATACAACCTACTGCTATTATACCACATGTATACTTTCACAAAGCCTCACAGAGACGGAGGTTCATGCACAATGCGTCACAGAGCACACGGTGGTGAGGTCAGAGGGTGGATACGGCATTGCAAATCTGGCACAAATTTCACGCCTGCAGCCACCAGTAGTCTGAGGGAATTCCGGATAGGAAGCTGTGAGAAGTCATCAGCGACTCAAACACCTAAACCTAAACTCCTTCAAGAGGATTTGGTTGTAATGCCTCCCCAAGTGGAACAAATGTCTGAGCTGGCTAACCAGACATCTTTTTTTAAAAAGCTGTATTTTAAATGTAGACAGACTCTGCAGGAGAGAAAGAATATGTTGTGGGTTCTGGATTACCTCATATAAAAGCTCTTTCCATCAATGTTTAACACCTTTAAAACAATTACGCATCCGAAGTGAAATCTGCCATAAAAAATAGAAGACTTTTTAAACAACTGGCAGATTTGTCGGTTTTAATGTACCAGCTTTATTTCATCCCGGTTACAGTAAAAACGGGATGAGCAAATAATGTTTTTTGGTTTGTGCGGTACAATATTACACAGACGTGTATAAGACCAAGCAACACTCTGTAGGTGATACAATTTGATGGGATGCCAAAAATAGAAAAAATGTGTGAACACAGGAGGTGTTCTGAAACCCTGCAGACGGCGTGCGAGTGCTTGTAAAGGAAGGAATGATCCTCTCTGCATCACCAATAGATAATAAATTAGATATTTTCACTCTGTTTTCAAGTGAAATCAGGACTGACGGTTAAGTGTTGCACAGACTCGTTCTAATTAGAAACACACTAAAGGCCATTCATTAGAGTCTAGATGCAAGACAGAACTGATAAAACTCGTTAACACAAATTATTAATGTGTCAGATGGATAACGTGCACATACAACACAACTCCAAGCTCCAGTCTAATCCTTAATCAGTGCTTTAAAATCATTTTTAACAAACCTTTTACATTGAAGGTCAGCTACGTCTCTTAGCTTTGTACTTGTAACATCTTGTCCACATCATACACAAACTTAGTTGCTGGTACTAATTACAAGAATAAAAAAGAATAACTTAACACTATAATATGTAACATTTATGCATTCAAATGTCTAAACACACTATATATTATCCCAAATAATTCCAACAATGTTCAAACTCGGAGAAATCTGTTATTTTATTCAGGTAACGGTGCGTTTCATTGGTCGCACCATATCCCCTTGTTGTCAGTGTTGTGGTTGTCCGCCAGAAGCTGAAATAAATTGAGTTTTTATCCAGTTTTAAACCACATTTTGACACTTTTTAGATATTTTTAACTATATAATTTAACAGGATGAAGGATTTTAGTCATCGGGCATCTAGATCTTAAGTCAGAGAAACAAGCTGTGCTAACATAAGCAGCAGCTTGGCTGCCCTTTGTTTGATGGAGAAACACTGATTTTTAAAGGTGAATCTGCTTTATTCAGTGTTTTTACAGGTTTTAATCAGCAGGTCCATTTGTTTTGGAGAGGAGGAGACCTCTGTGGATAATTCGGCTCACAGTAAACAGTGTAGGGAGCAATGATGGTTAAGACAACAACTCCCATGATCCCAAATGCTATTTAAAACATTATCAAACTTCTTTTTTTTTTCTGATGTGAGAGACTCCTAGCGATGATGTTTCAGGACAGAAACTATACTGGAATCAAAAAGACGTCACAAAAATCTTATGAACTAAGCATAAAGTTGTCACATCAAGTTAGTTTGTTAAGTCATAAGTGAGCAAAACAACAGCATACAGCAAAAAAAGTACATGAGAACTAGCGTGGCCCCAATCCATTTGTGAAAATGGCCCAAAACACTTCCTCTTCTTGGCCCCCTAAATCCCCTTGATCTGTTTAAATCCTCAAAGATAAAGCGTACAGAACCACCCATGGAAACCGCTCCCCGAAGCAACAGGTGCAATATATTTTTTCATACCGGTGTTGCGTGTCAAAAACCCTTTGAGGATACGGTTACTTCCAGACAGTGAGCGAGCCACAGGAAGTCTTCTCACACGCGACGATTCAGGGGAGAAATTTAGAGTCCTTTAGGGCCGGTCGGTAAAAGCTGCCCCAGGTCTCCCTTCATTTCCTCGATGGCCACAGAGGGAGACCATCAAGCAGCTCTGAGCTTGCATTGTGAAGGCGTTGATGTCGGAAAAGCCTTGTCTCTGTGCGGTGATCTGCGATGTATAGTTTACCTATATTATTCTGCAAACCTACAGTTCCTTCCTCCAAGACAGAGGGGGAAGGGAACTGACTTGATTTAACAAGCAGGGCCAGTCTCAAGGTCAGCACCAACAACAAACAGTGTGTTGTGTAATACACTTACGCATTTACTTAAGATTATTCACCACTGCAGAACAAACCATTATCATCATTGTTTTGCATGTTAAAGGAAGGGGAAAAGGCTGCTGTCTGTGTTATTTACTGTAAGTGGAGCGCTCTTAAATGGCATTACGGACCATAGCATGAAAAGAAAGCCATCAATCTATTTTATCTGATGGCACTTCAAGGGAGAGAGAAAAGGCTTTGGTATAGTAGGGTTTTTAATCTGAACTGACCCGCACTGTGCTTCTCATTCCTACTCTTTCTCTGGCGAAACGCAATCTGGAAGGTTACAGGAGGGATCCTTTTCAGAGAGTCAGAGAGACTGATGATGGGGAGAACCGGCAGACTCAGCAGCATCTTGCATTTTGACGCAAGACGTTGTCAGCTTGATGTTCTCATAACACCTGACTCCTACAAACCATCTGGTGTATAGGCTCCTTCCTGTTACCTCGTCTTCTTCTTCACAATCATAGCTGAGTGTGCATGAGATTTCATAAAGTTTTAAAAAAAATAAATAACAAACTGTACTTTGTTGGCACAGTCCTACTTGTTGAAATAATGCACATTTTCTTCTCGTATTCTGTCACTGCACACAAAGCAGCTCCACGCCATTTGATTTCTAAAATTAACACTAGTGCCAAAAAACCTGCCTGCAGGGACCTTTTGATATAATTTCAGACTTAAAATAACTTGAATGTGAGACAACTTGTATTTAAATCTTCCTTAGTGCTCAGCAGGAAGAAAGCTCAAAAGGTGCAGTACAAGGACAGCCTATTATATCCGTGCCATGAAAATAGAAAAGGAAAAAGCTTTTATTTTATTGAAGACATTTTGACATCTCACGCAGGGGTGTAATTAATAAAATAACTGATGTGTCTGAAGTCAATCCCTCGTTTACTCATTTACTCCCAGTGCTATGCCTTACACTGTGGGATTGGTAGCAGAAAGGACCACGGATGCTCCCTTTTCGTTCCATTGTGGACTTTTTGAGGGCACTACATGATGTACACACTCAGACACTTAAGTATAGCGCACTATAGAGTAAGTAGAGACTGATTTCAGTGTCATGTGAACAGCCAAGTTGGAAAACACCTCAAGTCTCAAGACTCAGCACTGTTTATATTTAATCACTGGGAAATTCTAACAGCAGCAAAATCTCACACTTAGTTAAAAAGCACAAAGTTTGAACAAACCAGCAGCTACAAAAACCACAGTTACATCCAAATAAAATCTAATATTGACACTCAATATTGAATGTGTATTTAAAAATTAGTATTCATTTAAAAAGGGGCCTATATTTTCTTTGTTAGTATCTGATATCGCTTGTTAACAAACCGCTCCAGTACCAATGTACCAAGGCTGAGTCCTTGCTGTAGCGGTCTTGGGTTGACTCTTACCTGTGGCCTTTTTGCTGTCATCCCTCTCTCTCCCCCCTTTCCTGTCCTTTTGAGCCATCCTGTCCAATAAAGGCAACCCACCAATATATATATAAAATGCTCCAAATAAATATATACATATTATTTATACTTTATAGTGCAACTTCACAGAACACAGGTTTTTCCTGTTCTTCCCGTTCTGCCGACATGGCGTGAATACAACAACATATTGTGTTACTGGGACACTTAAAACTGAGATATCGTTGACATTATTGGTGACTCCTGTGATTTTCCTGCTACAACAAGCCAAAAGGGTAACAGGAACATCCAAGAAAATAACTGCAGGAAAGGATAATTTAAAATACTTTTAATGTGCAACTACAACTGTTGTTTGAATGTAAAAGCTATTAAATGATCTGGTAAAAATGTATAACTTACAAAAACACACTTTAAATGATATTTAAGTGTTTTTAAATGGAAAATATCATGTATTTAACTGAAGAGTTACATTTCCCCCTGCTGGTAAATCCTTTGCTCTGCAGTTTCAAGCTGCAACAGAAGAGTCGAAACTCTTTGTGCGTAAGTCACCTGATCCAAGTCTCTAAAATAACCCACTCCAAGCTGCTCCAGTGTCACAGCAGATCCGGCGTCGAAGCCCCCAAGTAAGTGCTCAGGTGTGATGTGTTCGACTTGATGAGCTTGGCTGGGATGGTCGGCATGTTCAACCTCTGGTACGCCGCAAACCTGTGACAGCCTCCAAAAGAGTAGTAGTAATCACCCCCCTCTCTGCCTTTGATCCAGAGCACATCAATGGGAGGAACAACACTCACGTCGGCTGTCTCCTGGAAGAAAACACAAACTGACACTTAATTCATACAGCAAAGCAGAAAAAACTACGGTATGGGAGTGAGTAGCCAGACATTACTGCAAACATACTCCTGTAAGAATATTGCAAGAACATTATAGGCCTTTTACTTAAATAACAAAATGGGAGCAATTACTTTACTCAAGTAAAATTTTACTTTAAGTATCAAAAGAAATAGTCTTCGTTATGCAGAATGGTCTCTTTCACAGTGTAATGTGTGATGTTATTATCACAATGCTGTATCCAGTAGAGGTGGATCACATTTCAACTGCTTTAAATAATATTGGGTAGATGAATGTATACAAAGGGCCATAGTCCATAAAGTCCAAACCACCAACCAAACTAATACGTGTCTGCTCATATTAGGGTCAGACGCCATGATTGTAACTCTGGTGGAAAATAATTGAAACTTATTTTTTATTTTAATGAATTGTCAAATTTAGAACATATGTAATATGTGTGAAATCACTGAACGTAAACTCAATATAAAACCTTTATATTGCCCATAAATTGTAAAGTGGTCGACCCTGAACGCATCATATTTTAGAAACTGATCATATATTTAATATATAAGATCATAATGTCATAAAGTAACAAGCAAAACTCTTTTATAATTATTTTGGGTTAAATCCAATTTCAGGTCTCTGAATACGACCAGTTGTGACACAAAGTTATGTTAGACTAAATCCCTTCAATGCATATGTCGAATAATTAAATATTCCAGCAGCCTACTTATGTTTTAACATTCTGCAGACTTTGAATGCCTTTGTTTACAAGTCTCAAGTGCTTTTTAAGCTTTTTAGGGAGAATGTGAAGTCTCACAGCGTGGTGTTGATATAAGAGGGTTTAAAAAGAGAAAATTCAAATAGCACAAACATGCAGTGGAGTAAACCCACTTCTACATGGATGGAGTAAGGAATAACTTAATATAGTATAAATTAAGTAGTTGTCTTTCCCGCCTGTGGGCCAGTATTGATTGCAATTCTTCTGTGGTTAGTTTTAATTTCATAATGATCATTACTCCCTGAAGTCAAGCAGCAGAAGTTAAGTGACAATGTGCAAAAACTACTACAATATTTGGGTGAACTAAACATGTAAGAGACGTCTTAAATGTCTTTTTTACACAGGGTGTTTATCTGGGTGTTAAACTTGGGGCATAAACTAGTATACCTACTTCTCCAGGCATCGCTGCACCACTGTAAATGTGCACCTAAAATGAATGTAATGAACTAGGGCTGCATTATATGGTAAAAACATCATATTGGGGTTATTTTTAATGATTCACGATTATGTGGAAGTTATTATTTTTGCATCACACGTAAAAAAAGCAACTATTAAACTATTAAAATCATGATGATGTGAACTTTTAGGGGGTCTGTACCAAATGTTGTGTACCATGTTTTCTTAAAATCTGGAGATCTGCAGACCAGGGCACCTCTGCAGCTCTACAGTACTTCATTATAATGCTGTTTATAACACATTTCACCTTTATCAACACATTACAGCTTTTATGATTTGCATATTGCGACCAGACCATTGCACTATTGACTACAAATGTTATAGTTTTTGTTATATTTTGTTTTGATATATGTAATATCAATATATATGTAAACCTGTACATAGTAGTTTGTTGAGCTT